AAACAGGGACACCCATGGCTCTTTGCTTATACGGAGAGTGTCCTTAACCCTGAGGAAAAGGGGGGTTTTGAATCACCATCAGTCTTCAGGGTATCTGATACCAGCCCCCTAGTTTATGATCTCTGCTGGGGAAAACAGTCTCAGAGAGGCAACTAGGCTAGGATCACACAGGTTTTCCAGACAGTGGTACCTGGCACCAGGTTCTGAGGCACCTGGGGTCTCTTGGCATCAGGATGAGGGAAGTCATTAACCCTCCCACCCATGCTCTGCTACCAGCATTCTCCTTAGCATCCCTGCCAGATATAGAAGGTCTCTTCAGTCTCATGTAAGTCCACCCTTCCCTGTACCTCGCCCTCTGTGTTAGTCCTATGGTGGCCTCATGGTCCTCCACACCATTGTTTTAACCCAGAGGGCAGCATACTTTTTCTATAAAAAGACAGATGGTAAATGTTTTTGGCTTTGCAGACCATATGGTCTCTGTCATAACAACTGGACTCTGCCTTAGTAATCCAAAAGCAGCCAAAGACCCTATGGACACAGTGGGTGTGGCCATGTGCCAATAAAACTTTATTGACGAGCACTTTAATTTGAATTTCATGTCATTTCCACATGTCATGAAATATTCTGATTTTTCCCCCCTCCAATTATTTAAAAATATAAAACCCATTCTTAGCTTTTCGGCCCTAATATTCCAGTCCCTGTTTTCACCAGCCCCTGATGCTGGGCACAGAGCTTGTGTTGTCTTTACCATCATAATTAACTTGGTACAAACATCTCAGCAAATTTTGCAGGTGAACCCATGGGGTAAATTTGCAATGGAGGACATATTGGATTAAGGGAGGAGGGGATTATTTTGTTAGACATTGCCAAAGTATTGTCCCAGAAGTTAACCCTGTTTATTTCCCCTGGTACCAGGATTGATTATACTGCTGAAAGCTCTGCCTGTGTGGTAGTGCTTTTCTTTGAGCGTTTTTTCATTCATCTTTAAGCCATTTGATATTCCCTCAGTGATTTGTCTATTTGTCCCCTTTACCTGTTTTTCCATGAGGATGTTTGTTTTTTTCTTGTAGATTATCAGATTTGCTTTTTACATAGGAAGGACCTTAACCCTCTGTCTAGTGCCCTCTGCCCATGAGATTCAGTTGTGGCTGAATAGGGAAATGTGTCTTGACTTAGCTATAAGATTAGGTCCCTGCCTAAGAGTTTCTGGCCTGGTGGGGCAGGGCCAACTCCAAGTGATGGGAGATATTCAGGGTGGCCAGTGCGCAGGTTCCAGCTTTGGGTTTAGCAGAGCCTCTCTGCTGGAACAGGCAGAGGGTAAGGCTGGGATGGCATCCTGGGTAGAGGGAACAGCATGTGGGAAGGCTCAGAGGCAGCAATGAACTGGGGAGGGGCCTTGCATGCCCAGCAAGGAGCTGGGCTCTTCAAAGGTGGTGATAGGAGGGACCCCCAGAGTGTGTTCTGACCTGTCCCCTCATTGTGTAGTCAACAGAAGACTGAGCTGCCAGTCACGGAGAATGTGCAGACGATCCCACCCCCATATGTGGTCCGTACCATCCTTGTCTACAGCCGCCCGCCCTGCCAGCCCCTGTTCTCTCTGACTGAGCCCATGAAGGTGACTGAGGCCTGGGAGAGGGTGGTGAGACACTAGGAGGCTGGGGCACCTATTGGCATGTTCCCAGAGTCTGAGGCAGACGCTGGGGAATTATGGTCATGGGGCACAGGGTGACCTGAGTCCCAAAGGCTGGTGTTTTTCCCCTGCAGAAAATGTTCCAGTGCCCATATTTCTTCTTTGATGTTGTTTATATCCACAATGGCGCTGATGAGAAGGAGGAGGAGATGAGCTGGAAGGTGAGGCCGTGGCAGGTGTGGGTGGCAGGTGGGTGTAGATGGGATGTCTCAGAACCCACCTACCCTGGTCTGGGGGTTCCCAACTCCTGGTCATTCAGTCATTTGACAACCATTTCCATATATCTGCTGGGAGCTCAGGGAGGCTGTTGGGATAGTGGCCTAGGGAGCAAGTAGGGTCTTGCCCACCTCATCTGCAGCACTTCCTGCTTCTCTCTCTTTCTGCCTTTGTCCTGGCTGTGCCCTCTTCTTGGAGCACCCTTACCTCCCTGTCTCCCCCAAGCTCTGCTGGTCATTCACGTCCCAGCCCTGAACTAGCTGTGGGACCTCAAGTGGGCTACTTACCTCTCTAAGCCTCAGTTTACCCAACTGTGAACAGGGAGAGTTGAGACCAGCTCCTACTCATACCTCAATATTTAAACCAAAAGTCTTTATTTTGGGAAGCTTTCCCTGCTCAAGGAAGATCAGCATGGGGGCTCAGGGGTAGTCTACATCCAACTGTCTCCAGGACTGAGACCTTTCGGTAATCCCTAACACTGGGTGGGTAGCAGGGAATGTTTGCTGAATGCAGGAATGTTTTCTGCCTGGCAAACTCCTCTTCACCCTTCAGAACCCAACCCTGGTGCCCTCTCCTCTGGGAAACCCTCCAGGGGCAAGGAAGGGCTGCCAGGGGAACCCTTGCCTGAAGAGCCCCTCCCTGGCCTCACAGGACATGTTTGCCTTCATGGGCAGCCTGGATACCAAGGGCACCAGCTACAAGTATGAGGTGGCACTGGCTGGGCCAGCTCTTGAGCTGCACAACTGTATGGCTAAGCTGCTGGCTCACCCATTGCAACGGCCCTGCCAGAGCCATGCCTCCTACAGCCTGCTGGAGGAGGAAGATGAAGCCACTGAAGTTGAGGCCACTGTCTGAACCATCCCTGTGCATCCAGCCTTGTACAATGAAACCCCTGGCCTAGAGTAGTGCTGGTTCTTAAACTCCACTCCATGGGACCCCTGGGGGGCTTCAAGGAAGCAGTCAGTTACTTCGGAGCCCTGGGAGGAAGCCCAAGATTCTAGGAAGCATCCCAGGGACTGTGGACACCCATTCCCCATGTTTCCCAGCTCATATCTCACTCCCCAGTTTGTCTGTTGTAATTTGTTTTTCCCTGTGTGATTTTTGTCATCAGAATAAAAATCTGAGAAATCTCTAACCCAGGTCCACACCAGTCACCTTGTGTTAATTAGGATCTTCTTGGTTGCAATGACAGAAAACTCGCCCAATGAACAAGAAGGGTAATGGCTTGGTTCTTGTGGATGAAAAGCCAAGGTGCAACTTCAGGCTTGACTATCTACAGCTGTACGGACAACATTGCCATTGGGGTGGGCTGAAATACTCTGTATGGCTGGTATTCAGTGTGCCCTGCTTTCCTCCCAACCCGTGGAAAGGGGTGAGATAGTTGTGTCGACCCCAGGAAAGAAAATACCTACCAAGAGGAGCTCCTGGTGGCTAACTGGTCTCAAAAAACAAAAAAGCCATCTGGCTGGTGTGGCTCAGTGGTTGAGCATTGACCTTTGCACCAAGAGGTCACCAGTTCAATTCCAATCAGGGCACATGCCTGGGTTTGGGCTCAGTCCCCAGGAGGGGATGTGCAGGAGTCAGCTAACTGATGCTGATGTTTCTCTCTCATCAATGTTTCTATCTCTCCCTTCCTTTCTTTCTAAAATCAATAAAAACATATTTAAAAAAAAAAAAAGCCGAGGAGCCATTGCTGAACAGGGCCTCTCACAGCAAGCCAAGTTTCAGAAAGAAAAACCTATCTGCCTTCTGCATTGAAATACCTGCCCACCTGCACTGTGTTCCTGCTATGTGAGCCAACCCTTATAAAGGAGTTCATGGAATCATGTTTCAACCAATAGGATGGAGATAACCCCCTTGTCCAATTGGAGCTTTGCAACTATAGTCTTAGCATCTTTGACAAATCAGAATGGCTCCACTCCCACCAGTCAGAACAGTGCTTTTTGAGCCAATCAAGCTGTGAAGATTTGGAGTACTTATTTGCATGAGAACTGGCCAATTAAGGGCCAGGGGTGGGGCTTTCCTATACCTTCACCTTATGGCTGGGGAATGCTTGTTCATTTTTGCACCAAAGACTGATTCCTTGGCTGGAGCTGAAACAATTTGCCAAGGAGGGCTGTGTTCTATATTGAGGTGTTTGCTCTGAATAGTCTGTCACTGCACCCCAAATGGGGATTCCTGTTGGCATTGAATTGGCACCATGACCCGCAGTTGTGACCACTACCCAAACCTCAACACAGGTGAAGTGAGGGCTCCCAGCACCCCCTTATGACCGTCCTTGCCTGGGTCATGGCCCAGAGCTCTGGGGTGTTCTGATTGTTCAGATCTGGATCAAGCCTCTCCTGAGAAGGGGAGGATTACAGCGCCCAGGAAATAGTGTGGGTGCTCCCCAGAAGAAGGGAGACAGGACAGGCACAACAAACAGGTCCACCATTCAACTATCTGTTTGGATAATGAGCAATTGTGAAAAAAGCTTACCAGATAGAATCTCAGTTCCATATAAAATTAGAATGACTTTATTGAGCAACAGCTTTTCCTTCCCATAGCATTTACTGGGCACCCGTGTGCCAAGGCCCTGTGATGAAATTCTCGTTCAACATCACACCAACCTGGAAGGGATTCTTCATCCATTTTGCAGATTGGAAAACTAAGACCTCAGGAGCCCAGAGCCCCAAAGTCACGGACTCCTGGCTCCGGGATCCTGGAAATGGGCGACTCAGAGTTGGAGGAGGGAGCTGATAATTGAATTTGCGCGCTACCGGAGACCTCTCCAGCAGTGGGCACCACAAAGTCACCGGATAGTAATTGCACCCCCTCCGGCAGGATGTGTTGGCTGTTCCCGATTTGAGACCAGATAATGGCACACACGGCGGCCTCCACTCTCCCAGGCTCTCCCCGAGCACCAGTCGAGGTCGCGGACCAGGGTGAGCACTGAAGCTCTCGAGTCCCGCTGCCCTCTGTGGGCTGCGCAGGGCAGCTTGGCTGGGTACTCTGAGAACCCGCGGGTACGGCGACTACAGCCCAGGGGCGGGGCGGCGCCTGCGCACAAGGTCACCGCGGGAAGTTTGAAACTGGCAGGCCTGGCTACAGGACTGGGTACGGCAGGGGCATGGGTTCTGCGGCGGAGCTGGCTCACCGGCTGCGGGCGGCGTTGCGGGAGGAGGAGCCTCGGTGAGGACAGGGGCCGGGGCGGGCCGAGGCTGGGGGCAAGGGTCGTGGTCCACTATAACCCCCTGATGGCAGGGCTGTGGAGAAGCTGCTGCGCCGCGGCGCGGACCCCAACCTGGTACTGGCGGATGGCGCCGCGGCGGTCCACCTGGCGGCAGGAGCCCGGCACCCGCGAGCTCTGCGTTGCCTCAAGGTTCTGCTGTGTCGAGGCGGGGACCCCAACGCTCGGTGAGGCGGGTCTGGTCCCAGAGCCGGGCCTTCCGTGCAGGGGAGGGGTCTCCCCAGTCCTAGGGCGAGGCCTGGGAGTACCAGAGAGTACATCTATGTTCCAAGGGTGGAGACTCAGTGCCCCAGGGCGGAGCTTGGGGAATTAGGGGAGGGATCCTGAGTGCCCTAGAGCGGGGGCTAGGGTCCCAGACTGTGGGTGGCGGATGGGGTTGCACCGGGGCCAAAGTGGGGATCAAAGGTTCAGACGTGGCGATAGAATCTCTAGGGTCAGAGAGCAGGCATTTGAGTCCCAGGCCCGGGGTGTAGGATCTAGATTACGAGGGTGTCTCAGGCTGGAGGGTGGAGATGCAGGACGAGGGCCCAGGCTCCGGGGGTGGGAGACGAAGATCGAGCACACTCCTCCTCTCCTGCCCCAGCTCCGCGGAGGCGCTGACACCACTGCACGTGGCAGCCGCCTGGGGCTGTCGCCGTGGCCTGGAACTGTTGCTGAGCCAGGGAGCGGATCCCCAGCTGCTCGATCTGGTAAGCCTGCCGGAAGAGTGGAAGAGCAGACTT